AGACGGGTGCCAAACAATCGTACCACTCATAGACTTTCTCTTCATATAGTCATTGTGACAGAAAGTTATCATCCAGTTTTAAAATTTACTATTTCACATCATCATCATCATCATCATCATCATAGTAGGGTCATCAGTTCTAAAACTGGTTGGATTCGCACCCCAATACTCCTATCATGAACTAATCTTCACATTTCCCTATACTTACGAAAATTAGAAAATCCCGCACCGCCAACTATTTGTGAACACTAATCTACTCTAGGTCTACTTCTACCCCTCTTAATCCCTGTTTCTGCTTCTAATATGTCTCTTATTAGACGTAAATTTTTGATCATCATATAGCCACGCATTCTCCACAGACATTAAGTAAAGAAAACTAAAAACCATAGAACACAGGATGTATCAAGGCTGAGGAAACAATAATAGAAAATAAACAAGCAGATAATACCACTTTCACGTCTTGTTACTGTATTGGACTTTACAACAAACCCTGATCTTAACTATTAAGTATTAGGTACTTGCTTTTGTTCGAGAAAAACAGTTTAGAAAAGCTCTCTGCTAACTCCATTTTTCCACTTACGCTTTTCACGGCATTGCTATTAACGGTGCGTTGCTCAGTCGGAAACTAGCAATGAGCTCTCGCAAAAGTCTCTTAGGAATCTTTTCAATTTTATTTCACGTAGCGGTGATTTTAAAAGCTGGGCTTGTTGGAAGTTGTGATCATCGAAAAAAGTGGTTCTAGGAATTGACTTCCTTCTTTTTAATATCATTCCGAATATGGCGTATACTTATGAATTGTTACGTATGCAGTAACATAATATATATATTCCTAATCCCAGATATGTGAAAAGGGATGGTTGTTACTATTTAAATCTATACAGCAGTTTCTACCACCAGCATTTCTTTAAGTACTTGCCATAAAATGTTAGTTATAAAAAATACCTCAATTTGTCGTAAAAATCATTTATTTAGAATTACTCTTATATTTAATAGGTCCACGGCATATTTCTTAGTGTACACCATGTGCAGACATTTCGGGTGTATTTTTTCATTTATTTTTTATTTAAATGATTGTTCGATGGAAACCTTAATTCTACCCTTTCCGTCATCTTGGATTCTTTTTTTTATTCGGTCAAATTTCACGTTCTATTCATCCCACAGGACTAAAGTGGATGAGTTCAGATAAAACCGCAATTAGATTTAAAGCGCGTTTAGAATTACCCAAGTATTATTTTTTTTATATTGCCTACAATTCTGCCACTCCTGTTCTCATAGCCCTGTTCGGTCATATAGCTGTATAACGATGTCTCTATTTTTATTATAATGTATTTGAAAATGTAAAATATGAAACGATTTTCTATTACAAATACTAAATATAAGGTTGTTCGGAAACACATTCGTAAATATGAAGATTGGAAAAACTTTGCCGGTTGTTGTAGAACAAACAGAATAGCTCAAAACCCCAACGCCAAAACAAGACACTGTAGTTGTCCGAAGCACTTTTCGGTAACAAAGTTACCTTCTTCAGGGATTGAAGTAAAACTTCGGACAACTACAGTGTCGTGTTTTGGCGTTGGGGTTTTGAGCTTTTCTGTTTGTTATACATTCGTAAATGCAAAATAAATATTTTCTAGATTGTTGTTTATTGATAAAATTATTCTATGGTCTATTGTAAAGTGAAAGGGTCGGGAAATTTGGTTTCTATAGTGAGAATATCCGTAAATTCTACATTGTACACTAGTGGCGAGTGGACAACCGCAAATTAGGGATATTCTATTACATGTAATCATCAAAGGCGGCTTCATCTTTTGACAAATACGTAGTGTAGGAAAATTCGTAAAAATCCTTTTCATATAAATAATATAAGTGTAATAAATGCAATTAGTAGCTTTTGAGGGTTGTTACGTTTTGTTCAAAAGATTTCACTCAGTATCGGAAAGCTTTCAGAGAATGAGAAGATATTTTCAGATAGACGTGGACTATATTCATCACATTCACCAAATTATAACTTTTCGCTTGTCTGATATAATTCTGGTGAAAAAGTATGTAATTTCTATGATAAATGAACAATTTGTCATACCTGTATATAATTCCAGTGATTTTCTGTCATGAAAAAGCCTGAATATTACCAATTCCACCCAAATGGTATTAGGCATCCCAATCAGGATTTTATCATGCATTTTATAAACACTGCGGTGGGATTCGACTATAGTGGAATATATTTTTTAAAATAGAAAATAGGTTTATTACTATGAAGTTATCATTAAAGAAAAATAATTCCCAAATAACTCATTTTGTAAAGAAACAGGGTAGGAATAAGTACCTAATTTTGGGATTTCTTATTAAAAAAGCTCCACCTCAAATACAACAATGGATAGCGTGCAATGGATTCTGTTAAATTTATTACACGTTTTTGTTCTCCAGTAGATCAAAAATTATGTTAGCAGTGGAATTTTCGTACTGATTGCATGCCGAATTCAACCTAAAAGGGAATATCGTTAATTCAATTTTCTATATTGTAGTCAATGTTATCTTTGTTAGCAGATTCCTCGATTATTTTTATTTAAAAATAAAACGCCGGGTTCGAGATTTTACCATCTTGACGCGTCCAAAAAATTTTCAATGAATAAATTTTCCCGCCCTTAGCTAACTCAATTATCACCAACGTCTTATTAAATAAACGTTATGATCAAGATGATTCAAATTAAGTAGCCAATAGTTATCGAACTAAATACTTCAAAATTAATTAAAATTGGCAATCTGATGGATTATTTTTAACATAATTAATAGCTATATACGGTAGAAAATGTTATAAACGATGATTGAAATATAAATCGAACTGGAAAATTCCAAGAGATCCTGTTAATACCATGTAGTTTCAATAAATCCCTAACCAAATAGAAGTTAATTAATATCAAGTTCTTTATTAATTTATTACCGTTCTGAATCGACCNCTGTCGCGAATGTCGTTGGAGCAGAGAAAAACTGTTTACAGTTTTCGTAACGAGCATCGGTTTTAGGCCAAACGTTTGGTACATTCATAAATAGAGCTTTAGGTCATTGTCTGGATGATGGGGTGGGTGGGATCGAAAGAGGAGGTCTCCCCCATCGCTGTACCATAAAAAGTTCGTGGCGGTATCACCCCCATAAAAAGTTATGGGGGTTATATGGGGATAGGGGAAGGGGGGATCGAAAGAGAGTGGTCACCTGAGTAAAACCCCATAAACAATTTGCGGCAGTCTTAACCCCATAAAAAGTTATGGGGGTGGAAAGTTGATTATTTTGACAATTTTCATACACTATAATTCAAATAAAAATCAATAAAAAAAATATTTTCAAGCGGGTGGAGGTGGGCGATCGAAAGAGGGTGGTCACTTGAACAAAACCCGATAACCTAACCTAACCTACCCTATTGATAAAGATACTTAAATAATGTTTTATATGACTTTCTCAATATTTTGATGTATTTTTCCATTAATTTTACCTTTGAATATTGTTTAAGAATGACTATATAAATATTTACATGCCTAGAAATGTATAAAAATTGGCATATTTATTAATTTTGAACCCCTATAACTTTTTATGGGGGTGAGACCGCCACGATCTTTTGATGGTACAGTGGTGGGGGAGACCTCATCTTTCGATCCCCCCACCCCCTTCGGGGCCATCATCTAGACCTTTCCCCAACACACTTATAACGGAATGAAACAGCATGTTTTTTCCTGTTTTGACTTAAGCGATTTAGAAACATTTCTAATTTCTATATGAGCGTACTATATAATAAGAAATTTTGTTGGATTAGGTACGTGTTGGGTATCTTGTTGGTATCTATCACATTTATGGTGAAGATTATCGCAGAGGTATTAGTCGTTTTGCCTTTGTAAGCATGTTTCCACAAATAAAGACATTTAAAGCAAGATTTACGATAAGAGTTGCCCTTTTAACCCCGAAAGCTTTGTTCGCACGCTATATTTATTCTGCGGTGACAGTTCGGCTTTCGTTATCCATTAATTTAATTAACGAATCCCTTTTGTTTCCGGTATTGTTGTTTTACCTGGAATAAATCACTGCGAAATTGTTTACTATCCAATTGGTTCGAAACCGAACAGGAAACCGATCACGGTCGTTGTTGCGAAAAACCTGTTTCCTCTTTATATCGGCTCCGTATATTTGTCAAGCACGTTTAGAAACGAAAATAACAAAGATCCGCAAAGGTCACTTTCATCTAAAGTTGGTCGTCTCTTTTCTATCGATAAAATGACAGTGCCCAGGAGACCGCTTCGGTTAAATTTCATTCAAAGTTTGAAAAATACGAAAACGTTGCCCGCCGACTCAATGTCACATAAAATGTATTTTTTTTTAGACAACCATACAGGTACGCACTAATAATTACCATTCATGGGTAGAATAAGACGAAAACATTGATGAATTCATACTAATTAATAACTTAATTAATATAAAACAATAGAGGAAACTCGCTTACGTTTGAAAATCCTTAAATAGTCTTTTATTGTAACTGAAAACACAAAACGAAAAGTCAAAAGGTCTTAACAGAAACATACAGCTCTACTATTCTCTACCAGCCACCATATTGTTATGTAGAAGACCGCAGGAAAATGTAATTTGCCAAGAACCTGGTATAATAATTATAGAATAAACCTAACTGTAAGAATTTGGGAAAATAGAAGCTTGTATATCTAATATTTAATTGTCTCAATTGCTATTACACATTAAAGGACATATCTAAAACCAAATAATATAAATTGGCAAGTTTGTTAAAGGATAACAAACAATAAAAATTAGCTCCATCTAGAGCCGCTAACAAAAAGTGGTCAAAGACTTGCTTTCTCTCATTCCTTCATGAATTTTTCATTAATGGTTTCCCCAAACATTTAATTAGCTACGATGGACGAAAGTGGTATATGTACTTATGATTTTATGTAGATTAATTCAAGTTCATGTGTTTGCCAATGAGCACTCACTTGTTTTTTGTATTTCAGGTACCTTTTCATAATCGTCCTTCTTTACGAAATCGAGTGCAGTAACCTTCTGGCAGAGATTTCCGCTGCAGAAATATCCGAGAAGAAATATTGTTCATGCGACATGGACGATTTACAGGAAATTGAATGTCGATGTAGTGGAAGCGGTTTACTAGACATTCCAAGGGAAGGAGACTTGCCCACCGGCCTGATAAGCCTGTAAGTGGAACACGGGAAATGTAACTTTTTCGCTGCAGCAACATTTGTAGCAGTTTGAGTACCTATCACAAATCGCCTTTTAGGTGTCTTTTTAGTTTCCGTAAACTTAAAATTTGTTTCCGAATTAAAAAAAAAACCATTATTAATAATTAGTATCGTCTGTGATCGAAATTAGACCAAGAGAATCGCTTTATTTCGCCTGAGCAATGAGCAATTTTTCGTTATATTAAAATTCAACTTTAAACGCCTTTTTTAACATTTAAATATAATGTAACTTAAATTTAATCGTTTTAATGAACAGAAAAAATAAATTGAAAATCTAACAATCAAAAGATTATTCTACTGAAATACAAGAAACTTATAAAGCGTAACTGTAATGAACTGTCTGCTTTTTGTTCCGTTCTTCTCATTTCTCATTTCAATTTTAATATTTCCAAAACTCCCTCGACATTGCTCTCCAAACATTTCGTAAATAGTCTCGTTTCTCATGTTTCAATATACTGAGTCGTTGTTATTCGACACAATCCACTTTATATACATTAGGAAGTTGGATAATTCAGGACAGAAATAGTAGTAGAAATATAAAGCAGAGGATAGGGTAGAGTCGCCTTCAAGAAAATGAAGTCACTTCTATGCTCGCGAACGATTAATTTATAAATTAGAAAAATATTTTTAAAGGTGTATGTTTTGAGCGCGGCGCTGTACGGGTGCAAAACATGGATTTTTGACGCAGCGGAAACGGAAAAAAAAGTTAAAAGCGTTTGGAATGTGGTGTTACCAGCGGATGATGACGATACCGTGGATAGAGAAGGTTAAAAATAGGGAGGCATTAGAAAGAATAGGAGAACAGAGTCAATAAGAAATAGGCGAGACATATTAGAGTCAGAAATGGGAGTTAAAAGGAGTAAAGGTAGACCTAGATTAGACTGTTCGCAAATAGTTAGGATGTGGGATGTTCTAGTTTTAAAGAAATGCGAAGATTAGCTCAGGATAGGAATGAGTGGAGGTGCGTGTCCAATCATTCTTAGAACTGATGACCTTATGATGATGAATTTCATCAAATGATTCACTAGAGAATTTTTAGACTAATTTAAAGACTTACGAGAAAGGTGGAGGTGACATATGTATGCACATTCCTATTTGTGAAATGGCGAAAAGAAATGAATTAGGAAATAACCTACAAATCAAATGCAATCTTATCTTCAAATGCGAAGTACATTAACAGATGACAGAAATGTAGTTGCTTTATAGGGTACAATTCTCTAACGGAAATAACAACTGAAAGCCTCATTGATTTTATCTGTCATAAGCGAAAGATTAAGATAAAACATATATTGGCATTAAATTCATCCTGACCCTTCATTTCCCAGAAATCACCCAGCTGCATAGGTATTCATAAGAAGAAGACCAATTTTTTCTGAAATGTTCTTTTGCGAAATGTCAGATTCTTTTCATGTAATGTTTCGTCTTCTTTTATGAGATAGTTATTAAATAATAATGTGATTAATCACAAAAACTTTTATGGGAGTCCCCGGATACCGAAACTGCCAAACTTATTCTGCACGTGATAGGAGAAATATCATCTTCACATTTAATTACCGCTGAAACTTTATATCAATAACATTTTGATATACTTCAAAACTCATTAAGGCTGCGAATGTAATTAGAAATAAAAAATTAATTTTTCGATTAGAATTTTGTCGAAAATGACAGGCGTGGCTCTTGATGATGATGAATTTGTTAGTTAGTTCGAACTAGCACCCGTAGATATTAATTCGGACAAACAAATAAGTAATCAGTTTCCAATTACAGCTAAAAAAGTTATTAAAATTTGTTAATTTTTCCACTATAGGTCCACTGCTCGGTACTTAAAAGCCATAAGCATGGTTAGTTTATTAATTTTATTTTAGTGTAATTGCAATTAACATTAAAAAATAAGCAAGTAAGAGTGTATAGCTCGATCAGAGATACAGTGAGATTATGGCATTGACTTCTTGAGTGGTTAATAATATCCCGCGATGTAATAAAGTCAGTAATAAAGTAATTTAGATGTTGTTTGTATCTTAACAGCGACAGTAAAGGTCCATCTTAAGTAAATTATTTTCTTCATAATATAAGTATGTATATGCTTTCGACAAAGAAAGTTCAAAAATTAAAAAGTTATAGTTTAAAAGTGCGAAACATGGACAGTGGGCTCGGCGGAAAAGAAAAGATTAGAAGCGTTCGAAATGTAGTGTTACAGGCGATTGATGAGGATACCGTGGATAGAGAAGGTTGGGAATGAAGAGGTATTAGAAAGAATAGGAGAACAGAGGACTCTATGGAAGTCAATCAGAAATAGGCGAGATAGGTTGGTAGGACACCTTCTCAGGCATGAAGGACTAGTCAGAGACATACTAGAGGCAGAAACGGCGGTTAGGAGGGGTAGAAGTAGACCTAGATTAGATTACTGTTTCCAAATAGTTAAGGATGTGGGCTGTTCTAGTTTTAGGGAAATGCGTAGTTTAGTTCAGGATAGGAAAGAGTGGAAGTACGTGTCCAACCAGTCTTAGAACTGACGACCTTATGATGATGAGTTAAAAATGTGCTCCTCCCTTATATCTTGAATGAAACTCTTTTATGCTCCGCAAAAACGAATTAAAGCGTCTAAACTTTAATCCGAATTCAAACGAATGGTGTCTAGAAGTGAATAAAAACTTTACACAAACTAACAGATTCAATATGTAAAGTTCTCTACGTTAATGAAAAATACCTACGGTTGCGGCTGCTAAATTGAAAAAGAACAGAAGTTAATTGTATAAAAAATATTAGAAAAGTTTGTACACATGAGCCAGACTATTCGTGCAGGGTATAATTGAAAAAGAAAATTCCTAACTTTCTAAGGAGCAAATTGGACCACAGAATCCCATCACAGATTTTTTTAAGTTTTATTCTCAGATTCCTAAGTAATTGGTTTGCCCATTTTTGGTCTAATGATCTACCAATTGGCTGGTAACTGTATGTTCACGAAAAGGGCATTTTTTATGTTTCTTCTATATTTTCTTTTTCTTACGTATACATTCGTTCTCTTTTTATAAAGAAATTGTTAAGCGCATTGAGTATTACTAACCCGCAAACAAAGCGTAGTAGTTTGCTTACAAATTAATAAAAGTAATTAATTAGCGCTTACCTTATTTCCCACATTTAATCTTATTCCTAGCTTAATTGAAGTTTTTCGAAACAAAATTATTGACTTATCCTAACTTATTTACCCTTTTCTATATTACGTTTCAGAAAACTTATTTAATTAAATAAATTGACTAACTTAAAAGTCAGTCATCAGATTTTACATATATCATCTTATATCATTAATATATATTAGCATAATTTTTGTAACCGTGCCGATCAGAAGATACTTTTGACTCTTCTTTAATAGATGGAACTATTTTGCAAATTACCTGTTAATTAAAGTACAAACTGATATTACTTCATTCGAGTCAAGTTGAGCTTAAATATGGAGAACATCAAAAACCGACAATTCAATTAGTTTGCTTTCCAATTTAGAACTTTTTAAATCGGATTTTTCATTACAAGCAGAATCCTAGGTCTTTAATAGACTTTATACACAGTTAAGGATGCTTTTATAGAAGCAAAAGTGTAGAGGATTGTCAAGTTAATTAATGCAGAATATTTCAACTGTAAGCAGGTAAATTGAATTATTCACTACTTTTATCTAATGAGATACAAAAACGATTCAAAGAGAAATTGAAATAATAAGTTGTTTTGTAATGAAACCGCACATAGTTGTTAATTATCATTTAATTCGTTTATATAGGGTGGGCTTTTGTTTTAGATTTATTAACAATAACTTTAAGAACAGGAATTAAGAGGGGTAGGGATAAGCCTAAATTAAATTACCGTTCACAAATAGTTAGAGGTAGCAAAAGCTACTCAGAGAACAGGACTTTAACAAGAACATTGCATACATCATCGCATGAGGTTTTACCCCACATCATGATTTTAAACTGGAAACTGGCACCGATGAAATAATCTGACATATAAAATATTACTTAACGAATACTATTTTGTTTATTTTTTGAAGGAAAACTTCTTTACGCACGGTAAGGTAAGTTCGTTTCATGCGAGTTGCTATGTAACGAAATCATGCAACGCATTTCCCCCGCTGTCTGTCCCTATGTATGGCTAGATATTTAAAACTACGCAACGAATTTTAATGCGGTTTTTTTTAATAGATAGAGTAATTCAAGACGAAGGTTTATATGTATAATACATGCATAATATAGTAGAGAAACACTGATAATTTTAGAGGTTTCTAATGTGATGTCGTAAATAAACACATTTTTTGCGCTTACATTGCAAACGCTGGCTGAACCCTACGAGATAGATCAAAATAATGTACTACAATATTGTACATCTTAAAAGGGTCTACAAAAAAGTCCGGGATGGTATATGTCTATCTCTTAGGGATAACCCACAATAACCATTTTTATCCTTTACTTTTTATGAGAAATAATGACTTATTTACGAAGCGATTGTAGGCAATACAGCATTAATTCTTATCCAATTAAGTACCTTAAATACATTGTGCATTTAATATAGATCAATATGGCCCTTTACAGCATGTAATTTAAATGAATATTTTCGAAGATATTACAGACTTAAAATGCAGGGACATAGCGGTTGCGGCGGTACCGGCCGGTTTGTATTGTCTAATGACAAAAAAGCTGTGATTGTTGTATATAAAGACATTCTATAGTATATTTACTATCAGAACCGCACCCGTCAAAAAAATAGTGTACAAATAATACCATTAAACCAATTCCTTAACCCTTATCACGGTATGTTTGTGTGTTTGAAGAAGTTTCACTTCAGTAGCGTGTTGTATAATTACACGTTGTATTTTTTTTTTTTTAATGTTTCCTCAGGACATATAAAGTAACATTGAGAAGATCTACCGTTAGTGATAGCGTCGGATTCTACATCTGCATAATTGGTACCACAGACTTATATGAAAGCAAAAATGTCTACCTTTATTGATAATGACTACATTATAGGTACATACCCACGGGTAATAGGTATGTTAATGGGCAGAAACAACAAAAATATATAAAGAATTGGTCCACAGTTATTAATTAGCTCAAACATTTAAAAAACATTAACTTAAGTAGTTTCCTAGAAACTGCATTCACATTCTTTTCTTTGGTTGTTATATAAAAAGGCATGTTTATTGTTCAACGAACTATCAATAAATAGATAATCTGAAAGTACCTTGATTTTAGTAATTTTCAGCTCTAATAACATGCGATTAGTGATGTGTTACTTAATGTTTGTGATATTTTCAACGGTAGCTGTAGCGATTGGAAACGAAAGAAAATGCCACTGTCCTTTCGGTTATAAACATTACTTCGAAGATAGGGGGTGGTGGTGGAGTCGTGAAGTGGAGGTGTGTGTTGCAGGAACTGAAATGACAGCTACCCGATTTCCCAAGTTCGACTGTCTCTACCCACCAGATGTTTGTATAACTAGAAACCGACCTGCTGACTAATTAACTCTCGATAACATTACGCAGTTTCTGCACCAACTTGCTCCCCCTAACACGTTACGCTCAAGGAATTCCAGATAGGATTGTAATTTGTAGAAAGGCGATTCAACTGACTAAATCTAATACTGTATCCTAACAACCGTTTCATTTATATGTATCTAATGAATAAAGATGCGAGACGAAATTTCGATTATTATTTTATTATATGCATGTAGAAAGCAGATCAATGATGAATCATCGTATATTGTAAGAACTGCAGAAATTACCCACCTAATTTTATTTTACAAAAATATAAACATAATACTTAAATATTTTTAATATTCTACCTTGAAATCTTGCAAATACCTATCATTTTCGCATGAAAATGGGAAAAGCGGACTTTGTAGTTCCTAAAATTATGTCAGTATAATCATCATCATAATATTGTCAGTTCTAAGACTGGTTGGACAGTCACCTCCACTCTTTCCTATCCTGAAATAATCTACGCATTTCCCTAAAACTAGAACAGCCCAAATCCTTAACTATTTACGAACAGTAATCTAATCTAGGTCTACCTCTACCCCTCCTAACTCCCGTTTTCTGCCTTTAACATGTTCCTGACTAAACCTTCATGCCTGAGAAGGTGTCCTACTAACCTCTCTCGCCTATTTTTTATTGCCTTCCATAGAGTCTTCTGTCGTCTTGTTCTTTCTAATACCTCTTCATTTCTAACCTTCTCTATCAACGGTATCCTCATCATACGCTTATAACATCACATTTCGAACGCTTTTAACCTTTTCTTTTCCGCCGCGCCCACTATCCATGTTTCGCACCCGTACAGCGCCGCGCTCCAAACATACACCTTTAAAAACCTTTTTCGAATTTCTAAATTAACCGTTCGCGAGCATAGAAGTGACTTCTTTTTACTGAAGGCGACTCGACCCTGCGCTATCCTGTGCTTTATATCTCTACTACTCCTTCCTAGATACCTAAATTCGGCCACTTCTTCATAATTCTTAAAAAATTATCTAATTTGATTTTCAAATATATCTATTTTCAGCAGTGATTTTTTTTTACAGAATAATTGAAGATGCTGGAATCGAGGTGTTAAAGCAACGCTCATTGGCCCCTTATTCGGCTACTTTGAAGGAATTGTAAGTATAAATTTACTACCAACTATTTCTAAACTTTTTATCTGTTTCGATGCATGCACACATTCATTGTTTTAAGAAAAGGAAGATAACACCTACATGTCTGGTTAATGGCTTAAACGCAAGTTGGTACACCTCATTTACTTTCGAACAAAAATTGTTATTCCGAGCAAAAATGATTAATTGCTTGTGAAACGACTGCAAAGTTGAAACAGTAGGTACCAAATTAACTGCACCGATATTTTAAATTCCTTTCACATCTCCATGTTTCGTTTTGAAGAAAAACCAAAAACTCTACGTGTATATTAATTAATTAATGAATAATTAAGAAGCCTGTTTAAAACATTCATAGAGTTAATGGATGGGATTACTTTACACAATTTTTAATAGCAATATGAGTAACTTAAGTACCCAAAAAATAGGAAATACGACCTATCTGAAACAACGATGTTTTAATGAAAATAATTATCCGAAACAAATCGTAATACTGACCCAAAAATATTGACATAATTCAATTTAATTAAAGTTAACGAACTTGTACGAACGAAAATTTAGAAACATATCTTCACCCATTCTTATCCGGAACCAATAGTCCTAATTTTCCGAAAACAAGAGCATCCGACATCACCACTTATTAGACCTTCCTCGACATCCCTTTATTTCTGTTTCTACTTCCAAAGTCTCTAACTACCCCTTTATGCCTCAAAAGGTGTCGAATCAACCTATCTCTCCCTTCCCTTATTTAATTCTCCTACTTTTTCCATTATCTTCCAATTTCTAACTTTTTCTATCAACGGTGTTTTTCACATCTTTCTTTTCTTTCTTTAATAATCGTTTTTGAATTTCCAAATTGACTGATTTCCAACACAAACCGATTTCTTTTTATTGAAAGCTATTCTTTGTTTTAAAGCTTTTTCCTTTCTGAGTTATCTGACTTTCTAGATATATTTATAGATATTTCAATATGAGTAAAAGCTCTAACTCTGCTCTTAAGTTAAAGACAGTATCCCTTCGCCATTACTAAACCTAACATTACGCACATTTTTAACCCTCTTTAATAAACAGCTGTCTTACTTATCAATTTATATACAGATAGATATACACACAGGTTTAATAGCTCATAATAAACTTTAGTAATGAAGGCAGCTATAAAAATCTGCATGAATGCTTCAGTTTGCTAATATTCAGCTGTGCTAACACTAAATTTTCACTCGTTAACTGACTTGCTAAAAATTTAAAAATAACCTCGAGTAGTAGAGCTGTTTTACTGTGTAACGTGATACGTAATAAAAATCAAAAATAAACTACGCCAGTAGTCTAAAGATTGAGCTGCTAATTTGAATTGTAAATAAAATAACCCTAATCCTTGGTGAATAAAACGTTTATTGATTATTATTTGAATGAAACATTTTGTGCATGAACGAAAAGGTTACTGTAATAGACCCAATAGAAAACGGAAAGAGAAAGTAATTGTCCCGTTATTCATTACTATAAATAATTAGATACTACTTATAAGAGACAAAGATTCCTTGAATTTTAATTACAGAAAGTTTAGACTGAATATTGCAACAAATTGTGACAAATATTCTAGAATGTTCCTGACTATTTCCCGAAACTTCCCGTAGTTTCCTATTTTACGGCATATCGTGTTCATGCCTATACGATTCATTAGGATTGGCTACCCGCTTTCGTAACGCTATCAGTGCTTTCGTACAGATTACCGCCTGTGGTATTTAAATAAGGCAATTATTACCATTGATTCATCTATAATATGCTTATTTTAATTTGCACTTAATCATTTACCCTACGCCTACAAGTAAATAATCTACGTTTACAGAAACAATAATAATCAATAAAAATTAATGCCTGCTACTCAGGTTTTCGTTAACGTAACCTCTAATATAAAAGCAGTATTTTACTATCGTATCAAAAAATAAAATTAATTCAGTGTACATTTCCCTTTTTGACGATAACCAAAACCATATTTAATAATGCGAACGTGAGAATTCGGTAATCAACGAGATTTAGTTTTATTTGACAATCGGAACTGTAAAAATGTAGGTCACACTTTCCAGATAGGTATTTTACCCGATTGTGAGTACTCGTTATCAGAAAATACACTTAATATCCTTAAACCAGAAATAATAGAAAACGTTGTTTTCAGCTTTGCAATTGCCTAGCACCTTCGCCAATCTTGTAAATACTATTGCTATTAAAGAAAAATTGAAAAAAAAATTGCTTCACTTATATTTAATTCAAGAGCTGCTCCTGCAACTTCATCCGATTTATTATATTTATTTACGTGAAGTTAAGTGTATTTTACAGTTTTTCTAGATGTTAAAATAACATTCTAACACAATACTTTGCCCATCTACATAAATACAATTCAAATAAACGTTATCAACATAAAAATTCACACCCTTATAGTAATGTGCTGATCATAGTCCAAACTCTTCAATTATTATTCATTTACACCGAGGACAATATCATTTGAAGGATAATTTTGAAATATACTTGAACCACATAATTTCCAAAACCAAAACTCCAAAGGCTATTGCATATCCATGTAGTATTATGTTAACAGCAGGACGAATAGCCTCCATATTTAAAGGACGAATTTTATACTTCTTAATATTTATAACCACTTTTTTAGCACTCTCATCATACCATTTAGTGAATAAATTCGCTTCAAATATTCTAATCATTATCTTATTAATGTCATCCAGGAATGGGTTTCCTTTTTTTACAACAAATACATCAAATGATTCCATAATCGTCTGGAATATTAACGATAATAATACCCACTTAAAATAATTTTTGCTAATTACAGAAGAAGTAATTGTTTATGTATGAAACAAAACAAATGTCTAGCAAAAGTCTGTAAAGTATGTTCCACAATATTAAAACGATTTTTTAAAAGAACTACGCATGCAGCTGCTATGAAACTAAAAAATCTGAATATGGCAAGAATCTTCTTTCTAGTTGAAAATACAAAATTATTTGCAAATTCTACAATTTCTACAGAAATAACCAGATGATTGAAAGCTTTAAAGGATTTTAATCTCAAATGCATACATGAAACTAGTACCAGACTTCTTAAAGGTTTTCNATTTGTAGCTGTTTGAGTACCTATCACAAATCGCCTTTTAGGTGTCTTTTTAGTTTCCGTAAACTTAAAATTTGTTTCCGAATTAAAAAAAAAACCATTATTAATAATTAGTATCGTCTGTGATCGAAATTAGACCAAGAGAATCGCTTTATTTCGCCTGAGCAATGAGCAATTTTTCGTTATATTAAAATTCAACTTTAAACGCCTTTTTTAACATTTAAATATAATGTAACTTAAATTTAATCGTTTTAATGAACAGAAAAAATAAATTGAAAATCTAACAATCAAAAGATTATTCTACTGAAATACAAGAAACTTATAAAGCGTAACTGTAATGAACTGTCTGCTTTTTGTTCCGTTCTTCTCATTTCTCATTTCAATTTTAATATTTCCAAAACTCCCTCGACATTGCTCTCCAAACATTTCGTAAATAGTCTCGTTTCTCATGTTTCAATATACTGAGTCGTTGTTATTCGACACAATCCACTTTATATACATTAGGAAGTTGGATAATTCAGGACAGAAATAGTAGTAGAAATATAAAGCAGAGGATAGGGTAGAGTCGCCTTCAAGAAAATGAAGTCACTTCTATGCTCGCGAACGATTAATTTATAAATTAGAAAAATATTTTTAAAGGTGTATGTTTTGAGCGCGGCGCTGTACGGGTGCAAAACATGGATTTTTGACGCAGCGGAAACGGAAAAAAAAGTTAAAAGCGTTTGGAATGTGGTGTTACCAGCGGATGATGACGATACCGTGGATAGAGAAGGTTAAAAATAGGGAGGCATTAGAAAGAATAGGAGAACAGAGTCAATAAGAAATAGGCGAGACATATTAGAGTCAGAAATGGGAGTTAAAAGGAGTAAAGGTAGACCTAGATTAGACTGTTCGCAAATAGTTAGGATGTGGGATGTTCTAGTTTTAAAGAAATGCGAAGATTAGCTCAGGATAGGAATGAGTGGAGGTGCGTGTCCAATCATTCTTAGAACTGATGACCTTATGATGATGAATTTCATCAAATGATTCACTAGAGAATTTTTAGACTAATTTAAAGACTTACGAGAAAGGTGGAGGTGACATATGTATGCACATTCCTATTTGTGAAATGGCGAAAAGAAATGAATTAGGAAATAACCTACAAATCAAATGCAATCTTATCTTCAAATGCGAAGTACATTAACAGATGACAGAAATGTAGTTGCTTTATAGGGTACAATTCTCTAACGGAAATAACAACTGAAAGCCTCATTGATTTTATCTGTCATAAGCGAAAGATTAAGATAAAACATATATTGGCATTAAATTCATCCTGACCCTTCATTTCCCAGAAATCACCCAGCTGCATAGGTATTCATAAGAAGAAGACCAATTTTTTCTGAAATGTTCTTTTGCGAAATGTCAGATTCTTTTCATGTAATGTTTCGTCTTCTTTTATGAGATAGTTATTAAATAATAATGTGATTAATCACAAAAACTTTTATGGGAGTCCCCGGATACCGAAACTGCCAAACTTATTCTGCACGTGATAGGAGAAATATCATCTTCACATTTAATTACCGCTGAAACTTTATATCAATAACATTTTGATATACTTCAAAACTCATTAAGGCTGCGAATGTAATTAGAAATAAAAAATTAATTTTTCGATTAGAATTTTGTCGAAAATGACAGGCGTGGCTCTTGATGATGATGAATTTGTTAGTTAGTTCGAACTAGCACCCGTAGATATTAATTCGGACAAACAAATAAGTAATCAGTTTCCAATTACAGCTAAAAAAGTTATTAAAATTTGTTAATTTTTCCACTATAGGTCCACTGCTCGGTACTTAAAAGCCATAAGCATGGTTAGTTTATTAATTTTATTTTAGTGTAATTGCAATTAACATTAAAAAAT